TGTTAATTTTTGTTTTTCAAACGTTTCAAATAATACATTTTACAAGGAAACTCATTTTTCTTAAATTTTGAATTACAGCGCCATCTGTTGATAAATTGAAAAAAGTTTTAAATAAAAGTTATTTATTTTTTTATGTACTACCAAACTCTGAAAAAAATCGGGTCATTCCATTTGACTTTCCAAAGTTACCCCCGTTTCACCCTTAAGGAGGGGTAGGGGGTGGCTAGCGGTAGCACCAAATAATGTCCCCTTTAGTCACATTAACCTTTTATTTAAGACATTTTTCCGTGAAATGCGTATTTCTCGAGATATTGAGCTGTCTCAAGTTAAAAGAAACACCCTGTATATATATATATATATATATATATATATATAGCGGATTTTTATCAATATATTGATAAAAATCCGCGCCTAAAACAGAATTGTTTTTTTTCTTGCTGCGTGCGCCACCTGAAGATAAAGTCCTAGAGTCAAAATTTTTTGCATAGTTGATGTACTCATATGTGGTCAACAATGAATAATACAGGAAAGAAGAAATACGAAAAAAAAAATTTTTTCGACCTTTCCACTCCACCCTAATATCCATGTTCGTGCAGCTCGGTCTGCTGAAAATATTGCAGCAGTTAGTGAAAGTGTTGAACATAATTCTTCCACCTCGATTCGCCACTGTTCCCAGCAATTGACTCTCTCGAAGCAGTGCCGTTACAAAAATTTTAATTGGAATTGTGAATTTTAGTCATATTTATACTTACAGAAAATATTGGTAATAAACATCTGCATACTTATTAGGGTGTTTCAAAAAAACCTTTTTTTTGTTTTTTTTTCTCGGAACCACGCTCAAAAGTTTCGTATAGATATAAAAATGAGCCTGTGAAAAAATGAGCTCTTAATTTCAAAATTAAGATGCTCCGCATCCATAAGAATAACATAGGAAAAATTATTTTTGTTTCTTTTTATTTTTGTAACTAACGAACAATAAGTCGTACTATAAAGTTCTTGACATATTTTTGTAGAGAATTGAACGCTCTACAAAAAAGGTTTTTTATGATTTTTTGATAAATTTGATCCTTCTAAACAAATTTAAGGTCAAAGTTCAAATTATACGAAATTTTTGTGTTTTTTAACTACCCGACTCATTTAAAAAAATTTGAAATATTTTTGTAGAGAATTGAACGCTCTACAAAAAAGGTCTAGAGTCATTTTTCGGTAAGTAAACTTGGTTAAAAGTTATTCAAGGTTAAAGTGAAATTAACCGTCAATTTAGTAGTTTTCTCGGATTTTTTCTGGATTTTTTTAGTTCAAAGTGCTAAAAACCAATCGAAATATTGTTTTTAAGCTCTGGAAGTTCGGAAAAACAGCGTTCAATTCTCTACAAAAATATTTCAAAATTTTTTAAATGAGTCGGGCAGACTCGCCAAATAAGTTAAAAAAACCCAAAAATTTTGTATAATTTGAACTTTGACCTTAAATTTCTTTAGAAGGATCAAATTTATCAAAAAATCATAAGAAACCTTTTTTGTAGAGCGTTCAATTCTCTACAAAAATATGTCAAGAACTTTAAAGTACGACCTATTGTTCTTTAGTTATAAAAATAAAAAGAAACAAAAATAATTTTTCCTATGTTATTCTTATGGAAAATCGAAAAGTGCGATGCGGAACATCTTAATTTTGAAATTAAGAGCTCATTTTTTCACAGGCTCATTTTTATTTCTATACGAAACTTTTGAGCGTGGTTCCGAGAAAAAAAAACAAAAAAAAAGGTTTTTTTGAAACACCCTAATACTTATACTGTGTTAAAATGCAAAGGTAAACAATAAAATGAGTTAGTTTCATAATTTATTTCAATTCTGCTCCATACTGTATAATATCACTTTTAGTTATTTAAATTATGTCCAATATTTCCAGCCATAACCTCCACATGACCTTCATGAATTTTCTATGAACCCTGAAAACAAATAGTAATGTACTTGCAAAGTATTAGTTGTATTATAAAATAGAACTTACCTACCTATATTTATATGTTTAAGTTTCTTTCCGTTTTCCTAGCAGATTCTAGGAATAGGTGATAGTTTTCTTGTAAGTGCTGTCCATACCATATTAAAAATGCCCTATAGAACCCATATTGATCCAGATATCTAGATAAGGAAACTAATATGGATTTATATGGTTCTATATGTCCTATATGGAACGACCTGGTTTACACTTTGGAATCTATATATGGTTTAATATGGAATTTCATTTTAAAATGTACAACTTAGGGATTTTTATATGAATTTATCTGGTTTCTGTTTTATTTGTCTTTCCATATAGGTTTCCCTATATGGTTGAATATGGAATTCCATTTTAAAATGTACCTATATATATATTTAAACGAAAATTGCATATTAAGCCATATAGATTCCCCTATATGGTTAAATATGGATCTATATGGTACCTAATAATTTTTTCATACCCAAACCATATAGGATCAGATAGAGCTCCAATATGGTTCAATCTGAACCTATATGGCAATCCATAAAGAAATCACTTTTTTATATGGTTTTTCATGTATGGAATTCTATCTGGTTTAATAGTATAATGCCTGTTTCAAATTCCTATATTGAACCAGATAGAACCATATACCTAGATTTTTATTTTTTGTTTCTATATGGCATTTTTAATAGTGTAGAAAACCCCGAAGGTGCTGTCATTTGCAATTTGCGTTTGTTTATGTTTTTTTGTGTTTAATTTCCATTGATTAAATAACCATTGTTTAAAAGTTATGTAATTATTCTTCATAATTTAATTTCATGAATATTTTTTTATTATTTTTCTTCGAGAATTGAAGCTGGCTGAAAATTAAAAATAAATTAAAATCTAAATTATATTCAAATTTAAATACACATTATTTTTTTATTTACATTAATTAAAATATTGGTAATGCCTATAGTTAAAGCCATATACCTATAACTATAACTTATAGGTATATGGTTAAAGCTAAAATCCTCTAAACAAATTTGGTTCTAAATGAAAATTACTATTTTTTTTAAATATCTAGCCACGTTCTTTTCTATTCGATACTTTGAAGAAGTCGGTTGTGTTTCAAGCCAAATAAAAATTTATTTAATTATATTATTATAAAGAACAAGGCAAATCCTTATTTTAAAGTAGGTAAATCTTTTAATTTTTTTTTTTATTTAATTTATTAATTTACTTACATTTTTCTTGATTTTTTTTGGCACTTTGTCAATGTGGCCACATGGTAATTTTCCTAATGCTTCATTTTGTTGTAGAACAATTGCCACCTTTTCTTTTCTTTTTGAGTACACCTTTTTATGGGTTCAACTTTTAAAAGTTCATTTTATCATCATATCATCTTTAATATAAATTTTGAAGAGGTAGAACAAGGATAATTCTTGGAATATCTTGTATTCATTTCTTTTGTGGAAATTGGAGAAGTTTTTCAAGTTGCACAGTAATCCGTTAGATGGTGAAGAATATATTGTCCTTTGTGTTACCTTTGTACATCGTCATCTAGTTGTGAACCATCCTGAAGGTTCAGCGACTAAACCGAAGCAACCTAGAAAACAACAGGCCTTAGGAACATCGCCTATTTAAAATAAGGAAATACTACTCACTGATTTCATATAATTGTAAAAGGTAAACTGCAGTTTTCCATTATTTTGTTGTTGCCAATTTTATGAATTGTATAAATCAATCATTATTATTATTTCTTCCAGTGTATGCTAAAAGGGGTATAGTATTTTACTTAATTTTGTTATAGTTTTACAAGCTTACCTAAATATCAGCATTAAAACAGTTGTTTTCTTTTTACTGTGCAATTATAAATAGATTTTATTTGTTTTGTTGTTCGCGTATTAAAAAACTGTGTGTAAAAACTGGTTCTTTTATTTTATCATCTTTTTGTTTTATTTCAGAAACTAAATAATATTTATAAAATTTTCTATTTAACATCTATTACATATATTTTTTTTCAAGTGAAAATTAATATGTCGTTTACTTGTTTAATACATAGTTTAATTTGAAATATTATACAATAAACATCTTTTAATAAAACTTAAATTTTTAGTAACCAACACCAACACACGATCTAGCTCACGAAGTCAAACTGACAACTAGCCGGCGTGTGCGTTATTTTATTTATTAGTAAAAAATACGTTACAGCAGTTTACAGCGAATTTTGGCCAAAGACCGGCATTTTCATGCGTACAAGATTCGGTTGACACAGTATTTAAAGACAGCAGACCATGCACAGCTACGAAACCATGGAATTATTTAGGACAAAATTTGAAGGCAGAGTTATCTCGCGCTGCGAGGATGTGATGTGGCCAGGCCGATCATGCGATTTGACGCCTTTAGATTTCTTTCTTTGGGTTTTTTTGAGGGAAAGGTTTATGCTAATAACCCAAGAACAGTTCCTAAACTAAAACATGAGATTCGATGGGTCATTGATGAAATTGAGCCGGCACTATGCCAAAATGTAATGGAAAATTTTGTCAAAAGAATCAATGTGTGCCGTCAGTCACGAGGCGGCCATTTATCGGATATTGTGTTCCATATTTAACCTCCATGTCTTCCCTCTTTATTGCAATAAAAATATCTTAACTTTTTAAATAAACACGGCATTTTTTTAAATTTTAAAATAGGCGGTCTTAATGGTACACCCTTTATTTGATTGAGCATATGAGGATTATTACCCTTTTTAAATAGTTTTTTTTATTACTTGGTAGGTATATTTATATAAATAAATTATTTATTGTACTATTATTATATATAAGTCTAGACTGAAGTTCTACTGATATTTCTAAAATATCCAGAATATTGGAAATTATCGAAATGTTTCAAGTTTTCAAAAAACTTTAAATTCACGAAACTTTTCAAATTAAAAAAATATAATTAAGCCAAACTTCCAACGCAAATGTTTTTTATATTAAAAAAAAAGTATTAGCGTTTGTTCTTTCTGTATTAAATAAAACACATACAAAATTATTTATAAAACTCACATCTTTTATCATCATATCCAAATATCAACATTCAAACTACATAATATGTACTTCAATAAAAAAATATATACAAACAATATTTTAGGTGTAGATGTAATAGGAGCTACCAGGCCTTCTTGGATCAGTAACTGCATATAGGTTATTGTGATCTTTGTAAATCGCAGTTACCCCCGCATAAGTTGGACATTCTTCAATTTCTATTTCGTGTCCAATTTGTCTGAAAGCCGTCACCAGAGCTTGTTCTTTCTAAAATAATTTTTTTTTGTGAGAAATGGTTTATTTAGTGACTTTATGAAGCACCTACCACATCAAATTCTTTTTCCAAATACAAAACCATGGGAAATAGTTGATGGTGAAATCGGGGATGTTGAACTGCTTCTTCCAAAGTCATATTAAACCAAAGTTTCTTAAGAACGGTCTAAAATAGCATTGTAATTATGGACCCTTGTAAAATGATCAAAAGCTTAAATAACGACAAGTTAAAATTATGACAAGTTAAAATGATAATAACCTGAAATGATGACAAATTAAAATGACGACAATTGTAAGCTTTAAATTATGACAAGCAAAAATGTTTTTTACCAAAGCAATTTGTGTTATCATTCTCGGACCACCGGTAGCCCCGACAAGAAATTTCATTTGATTGTCAATATCCACGATGACTGTTGGGCTCATGGAGGTCAACGGTCTCTTTCCATGCTCAATAAAATTCGCTTTATTTGGAGGCAAACATCCTTCTCCATGCCCACAGGGAGATGAAAATTCACCCATTTGGCTGTTTAGAATGATCCCAGTGCTCTGGGAGGCTATACCAGCTCCAAAACTACAAAAATATACCGTATTCCTTAGACCAAAATAAGTTGATTCAAGAAAACTTACATAAGTATAAAGCTGCTTAGTTTGTACGTTGACATATAATATTTATTAATAGGCGTTGTAAAGGATAAAGCATGCAGACATGCAGACGTGCTCTCGAACGAATTCGATCCCGATATAGTAAATAAAGACCATACGGACACGGAAGTAATTAAGTAATAAGTGACAGCATGGAGATTTAACCCCAGGTCAATTGCCACCTTATGTAAAGAACAAACGAGTCTAACCAAGAGTGGAAGGGGTCATTATCTGCAAAAATCTGATAAATACTAATTAATCGCTTGACCTAACAGGCAAATTCGCCAACAATTCGACAACACAATTTTCCTCCCATGAAAAATTTTAACAGATTTTAAAAATAAAGGTTAAAAAAACGTACCTGTGTCTCAACGTTTCACGAAATCACATCATTTAATTTTTTTATACAGCCATTCTTATTATTTAATCCTATTCAGATTTTTATTCCTCTATTTTGTTATAAATATTTTTTTTTCTTTAAATATTTACATAATACAAAAATTATTATTACTTAAAGAAAATAATTATTTTAATTTTTTTTAAGTAAAAAAAAATATATTTATATAATTATATTATATTTATATTTTTTGTAATTAATGTTATACAAGGTGTCCCTAAACTTAGTGGCATAAATTTAGGAGCAGATTAAGAAAGTCAAAATAAGACGAAAATTTTTCCTAATAACGTATGTTTAAAAGATACAGGTGGATAAAGTGTTACTTATCAAATCAGTTTTTTTAATATAGCTTCTACTATGGTAGTCTTGGAAAGGTGATATTTTGCGAACAGTCACTTACTACCAAAACTATGGCGCGCCTTTTTGGTATTTAAGTTTATAACGATATCAAGTGATGAAAAAATTAATAAATAAGAAGATTAAATATTTTTTTACCTTGTGGATCTACTATTTAATACTCTAACAAATATTTAATTATTTTTTACGTTAGACGTATAACGAAAAAATGTAACCGAATTTTATAAGTAATATTTACACAATAATTTTTCATTTTAGTTATGAAAAAAAAAAAATTTGTACAGCATCTTCACTGATAAATAAATGATTTTATTCGGTCCCAATTACTTTACTCAATACATTTGAAAGAGTGTTTTAAAAATTAATGTATGCAGCTGTAAAAATTATTTAATACCAAGGATTTTTTGCAGGAAAATTAATTTTTACATGACATGGGATGTAAATATTATTTTTTGCCCCACATATATACAAAAAGTTTATATACAAAAGTGCTCTTTTAGTTCCACCCTTACTTCTTAAGAAGTCCCATAAGCCAACTGAATGGCTTGTGCGGGTTAGGGGTAGGAACGGACCGCGGGCTAATACACAATAGGACAAACACAAATAAACAGCCATACCCCTGGTGGGATTCGAACCCACGACCTCCGGCTTGTAGTCAGCATGCACTAACCACTACACCACATGTGCATAAATGAATTTTTACATCACATGTGAAGTAAAAATTATTTTTTTCGTCACATATGATGTAAAAATTATTTTTTCCATCACATGTGGTGCATAAATGAATTTTTACATCACATGCGATGTTAAAATTATTTTTTCCATCCCATGTGGTGCATAAATGAATTTTTACATCACATGCGATGTTAAAATTATTTTTTACATCACATGTAGTGCAAATAATGATTTATTACATCACATGTCATGTATAAATTCATTGTTGGTTGCCTAGCCTTATTGAATGATGGTACTACTGTGTTACAATAAATAATTCCCTAGATTTGGGACCATCACCAAGGGTTGCCAACTTCCCATAGAGCACAAAGTCGTCCATATGGTGTCCATAGGACATCCATCTCTGTACAAACGGATATCCATAGTATGTCCAAGAATATTTTATGGACGTTCCATGTACGTACATATAACGTTACTTTGGCACACTATAGGATGTCCATGTTATGTAATAAATGTACATACAATGTACGTTGGAAGTGGACTTCCATATGATGTCAAAATGAGCCTAGGAACGAAAATTTTAGAAAAATGTTGGTTTACTTGTTTATTCTGAGTTATGTATACATTTGTTTATTCTAATAAAATTTCAAACATATAGGATTTAGGATAAAAAAGGCTTAGACAGTGGCGGCTGGTGGATTTTGGGTATACCAATATCTCAGTTATTAGACATGAGGCCCATATAAAACATATATGAGTTTATAATGACATTGAATAGACAATTTCTGTGCAAGCATAATTTAAATTAAAGTTTGCGAAAAAAGTTAGTTTTTCAGCGCGCCTCACCACCCAATTATGATTATTCAAGTGCACTTGAATAATCATAACCATGGTGCAATTCATAATTCACTAGAGTTTAACAACAAAATAAAAATCCAAATCTTATACTATTTAAAAATTTAGTTAAAAAAATAATAAAAAATTAAAAATGGTATAAAATCTGTAATTCTTGGATTTTTATTTTGTTGTTAAACTTTAGTGAATTGGTAAATGGTATAAAATCTGTAAGTCTTGGATTTTTAAAATAAATTTTTAATTTTGTTGTGAATTATGAATTGCACCACTTTATTTTGCATAATCTTAATTTTGGGGGTAGGGGGCTGGTAAGGCGGGCTGAAAACTAACTTTTTTTCGCAAATTTCAATTTAAATTCTGCTTGAGCACAAATTTATTCATTATAAACTCATGTAAGTTTGATATGGGCCCCATAACTGATATATTGGTATTAAAGTGAATTAATTAAGTTTTATTTTATATTTAACACTAAACTAATAATTCAAGTATACAAATATTGGTGTTTAACATTTTGAAATAACCCAATGACATTGCCTTTAATAATAATAAGTCACTATATAGTGACTACCATGATACGATTTGAATCATGACTGACTTTTTTATTATGAATTTGTCAAAAATTTGGGGGTTTAGTTGGCAATTTCTAGGGAACCCAAATTTATAATTGGCTACATTAAAGCTTAATTTTCATGTATCCGTTTGTCCGTCATCCGTATGTCAGTTTTTCATTAAAATCGTCCGATAAGAAATGTTCTAATTTTCATGCATACGTTTTTTAATGACGTTTAACGGATTGATTTTGTGACAAATAGAAATTAAGTGTCAGTATATTCACTTACTAAATTTACCTAATGCTTAGTTACAATTATGTCAACAATTGTAACTTTAACAGTTAGCTGTCAAATAAATTTAAAGGTAGGTAAATATACCTTATAAAAAGAATATGCTAGCCCTAATATACATTAAAATGTATAATTTTAAAAACGCAGGTCCTTTTAGTTCTAGTTTTAATTTTTTTTGTTTGTCCTTTCTTTTTTTCCGTCATTCTTATTAAATAAAAACTTAACAGTAACCCATTATTCACATAACGAACGTAATATTTCCGTTTTACAATCTTATTGAAAAAATATAAAAATATTTGAAAATAAATTATCTTAAAATAACGTTAGGCGTCAAAAACAGATGTGTAGTGACGGATGAGTTAAACTTATTTAACATTTCTCTGTCAGACGTACGAAGTTGAAACTTGACGGACCGATAAAATGTCATAATTTTCGAATTATAATTGGACCAATAAGAGCGCTCCCGGATGAACGGACTGACGGACAAACGGATACATGAAAATTAAGCTTAAGTAGAATACACTTTATGTACACTGGAGAATATAATTGTGGTTATGTTATAATTATAAGAATATGTTTATAAATTTTAAAATATCAAATAAAGCTGTTAAAAATGCAATCATTTTAGCTTTGATCGAGTCGAGCCGGCTTGGCGCGAATTTTTTATTGCTGACCGGCGTTTTTTTTATATAAACCAAACCTATTAATAAAGTTTAATTCGTAACTTGGTATTACTGAGGTGTTTCTTTAAATAAAATTATAGTTACTATATAGTAAATTAATTTAACCAAACTGTCATGGTTTGCAAACAAAACAATTTTAACAATTAACAACAAATAAAACATTTTTTATTTTTTAAGTGTAGTTAAGCCGGGTCTACAATTGTCGCAGGACGCAGATCGCAGTACATAAGCTTGCGCAAAGCACCCAGCTGACAAAAGAACCTTGCTTTATCGCCACGTCGCAGGGTGCTTTGCGCAAGCTTATGTTCTGCGATCGGACCCCTGCGACAATTGTAGACCCGGCTTTAATTGTAAAAATTGATTGTTTTGTTTGCTATTTTTGTAAAATGTAACTATTTAGTATGGTAGCCGTTATCGACTGCAGGAGTCCTAAATTAGACTTTAAACATCCATCTTATTGTTTCTTGTCTTGTGTCCATCCATGGATATCCTATGGACGTTCTTCTGGAACATCCTAAGGACATGGGAAAGCGTAAACTCCATGGACGTACGTTCAAAGTCCATGGACGTATGTACTTAGTTTGGACCTTTAATGGACGTAAAATGGACGTAGTGTGCTGTGTGGGTTGGTTTAATTTATACTTTATCTAGTACTATTAAAGCTGTTTCATATATAGATGCGAATTGAGATACGAAATACAAAAATTCGCATTTCGAAAATCCTATTTCATATAGGTACATGCGAACTATTTGTATTAAAAAAATTAGCCAAAGTACGAGGTTTTAATCATCTCTGTAATTTGTATGGTTGGCAACCCTGGGTCTATGCTAAAACCACATATGTGCAGGGTTGGGTATCTACCTACATTTTTGTTTTCGACATGTAGAAAACCTTTTTCGACGTTTTCGACGGTAGAAAACGTAAAAAAGTAGAATACTGTCAAATATCAAAAAATGTGAGGTTATGCAAGTTTGTTGTTTATTATGATTTGTTAAATGTTGTAAAAAATCAGACACCTACCATAAATTTGAAGTTATTTGGAGTTTTTTAACATTATTATGGTGGGAAAAAAAGGGCCACGTTTGGTTGGGAGACCCCAACATAATTTTTGGCATGAGG